TGGTGCGATTATTCGCAAATGGAAGAAACACAAAAGAACTGTCAATCTCCCTCAGCCTGGGGCTCCATGCAAGATCTCACCTCGCGGAGTTGCAATGATCATGATAACGGTGAGGAATCGTCCCAGAACTACACGGGAGGATATTGTCAATGATCTCAAGGCAGCTGGGACCATAGTCACCAAGAAAACAATTGGTAACACACTACGCCATGAAGGACTGAAATCCTGCAGTGCCCGCAAGGTCCCCCTGCTCAAGAAAGCACATATACATGCCCGTCTGAAGTTTGCCAATGAACATCTGAATGATTCAGAGGACAACTGGGTGAAAGTGTTGTGGTCAGATGAGACCAAAATGGAGCTCTTTGGCATCAACTCAACTTGCCATGTTTGGAGGAGGAGGAATGCTGCCTATGACCCCTAGAACACCATCCCCACCGTCAAACATGGAGGTGGAAACATTATGCTTTGGGGGTGTTTTTCTGCTAAGGGGACAGGACAACTTCACCGCATCAAAGGGACGATGGACGGGGCCATGTACCATCAAATCTTGGGTGAGAACCTCCTTCCCTCAGCCAGGGCATTGAAAATCGGTCGTGGATGGGTATTCCAGCATGACAATGACCCAAAACACACGGCCAAGGCAACAAAGGAGTGGCTCAAGAAGAAGCACATTAAGGTCCTGGAGTGGCCTAGCCAGTCTCCAGACCTTAATCCCATAGAAAATCTGTGGAGGGAGCTGAAGGTTCGAGTTGCCAAACGTCAGCCTCGAAACCTTAATGACTTGGAGAAGATCTGCAAAGAGGAGTGGGACAAAATCCCTCCTGAGATGTGTGCAAACCTGGTGGCCAACTATAAGAAACGTCTGACCTGTGATTGCCAACAAGGGTTTTGCCACCAAGTACTAAGTCATGTTTTGCAGAGGGGTCAAATACTTATTTCCCTCATTAAAATGCAAATCAATTTATAACATTTTTGACATGCGTTTTTCTGGATTTTATTGTTGTTATTCTGTCTCTCACTGTTCAAATAAACCTATCATTAAAATTTATTTGTCAGTGGGCAAACGTACAAAATCAGCAGGGGATCAAATACCTTTTTCCCTCACTGTATTAACACCTCAATAAGCACCACGCTGACCGTCTCTGATGAAAGGGGAGAACATTTGAAATCACACAAACCCCCGAGTTCATAAAGAAGTATTTTCACCTACCCAAATCACGTACTCACCCACTACCCTCACCCACCCAGCTACCTTCTCACCCACACAATCACCCACTCAGCCAACCACGTACCCACTCATTCAATTACCCACTGACCTCACCCACTAACCCACCCAATGACTTACTCACCCACCCACTCACTAATTTTTCCACCTATCCACTCACAGACCCACCCAATCACTCATTGGCCCACTCACCTCACCCAGTCCCTCACTTATTCACTAACCCACTCACTTATCCACTCACCTCACCCACTCACCCACCACTCACTCACTCACCCTCACCCACATCCTTACTTACTCACTTTCCCACTGACTAACTTACTTTCATTTAAATGTGAGAGGAGAGGAGGAGGTACGGGATGGAGGGGTGAGATTGTAATTCATTGAGATCCAGAGACATCAGATTCAAGCAGGAAGTCTTTGACGACGGGTTTGGTGGGTAGGCGAATGGGTGAGTTGGTGGGCAAGTGAGTGGGTAGGGAGGTGGGTAAGTGAGTGGGTTAGTGAGTGGTTGAATGGGTGGGTGGGGAGGTGGGTGGGTGAGTGAGTGAATTAGTGAGTGGATGAGTGAGTGGGTAAGTGATTGAGTGAGTTGGTGAGTGAGTGGGTGAGTGAGTGGGGGTGTGAGTGGGTGATGGATTGGGTGTGTGAGTAAATGAGTGGATGAGTGGGTGAGTGAGTTGGTAATTGAGTTAGTGAGTGAGTGGGTGAGTGAGTTGGTGAGTGAGTTGGTAATTGAGTGGATGAGTGAGTGGGTGAGTGGGGAAAGTGAGTTGGTGAGTGAATGGGTGAGTCAAGTCACGTCGCGCTTTTCTGACAATCTGAAACTCAAACTCTACCATCATCACATTCAGTCTGCACCCATAGACATCGACACATTCGGTACAATGAGAAAATCATATCTGTACAATATCTGTGTTTAAAATCTCTAGAAATATACAAAAACTAAATTGATGCTGTCAGCTGCGAGCGGAAGACATCTCGCTATGTTTTCGTTCTTTTTACATTCTTTAATTTTTCGTTCTTTTATTCATTCTTTTCTTCTTGATTTCCCTTTTCTTCGTCCGTCCATCACTCCATCGCTCGAATGGCTCCATTGTTGGTCCGTCGATCGCGACGTTTAAAACAAACTTCGCAGTATTTTACCTTCCACCCACGGGCACCTCTTCGGTTATTAGTTCTGCTCTGCCGATGCTGTAGAATCGTTTGGCCCTTCCATGGGCCTTCCATGGCCCTTTTCAGTTGGCACTGCATCGCGATTTATCTTTTTTTCATTCGGCAAAAAAAATTAAAATAAACACAGATCGGATTAAACGTGAAGGATATTGAACTTCGCACTCTCCCAACTGTTCTTATCTTATTTCGTATTCATATTTAGAGCTATTTTCATCAAGGTGCTCTACATCGTTTGAAAATACAAGAAAAAATATTATAACAAAAAAACAATACTGTTGGCAGGTGGCATGCGATGGCCGATGAATCGGTGATCGTGATAGAGAGGTGCGTAGGGGATAGGGGAAGGGTAGGTCGCAATAGAGGTGCATTTGGGAATTGGGGAAAGGTAGGGAGGTGGTCACGATAGAGGGGTGCATAGGGGAGTGGGAGGGTAGGGGATGGGGATGAGTTAAGGAGAGGAGATGGTACTTATAGGATAGGGAAGCTCGAATCCGCTTCCGTGGTGCGGTTCTCTCACCTGAGGTTGTTTGCTGCTCTTTGAAAGATTTCGGCTGGATTCTTTATTTCGGCCAGGAACATGTGGAATGCGTAAATCGACAATTGGACGAATAAAAAAAAACTATTTTAAATGATTGCATTTCCTAGGTAAAACCCACTGAGCTCCGTTTTTCAGAAGTGACTCGGCCACAAATGATAGCTCAACGAAGTGGCTGATATCATGTGGGAATTTATAGCAGGAACCAAATAATCTAAAAGCACGTCTCCACAGACTTATAGAGACCCATGCCCCCTCCCCCCCATAGCGACCCATCCTCATAGAGAACTATACAGACCAAGAGATACTCACAGAGACCCATACCCAAAGATACCCACAGAGCTTCAGAGACTAATAGTGAACCATAGAGATCCACAGAAACTCAGAGTGACCCATAGAGACACATACCGTATTTTCCCGCATATAGTCCACATACGCATATAACCCGCAGAAGCATACACCCTGCAAAAATAGCGTTTTGTGTAAAAAAAAAATCAGATAGCCCGCATCTCCATATACCCCGCATGCATTTGTAAAGGAGAGCCGACACAAGGGTTGCAGGGGGTTCGGTGTTTATTCCTCTTCTGTCATCCACACCTCTCCAGCCGTCTCTCAATCTCTTTTCCGCCCAAGGCCCCTTCTTCCCGCCAGTTCTCTCCTTCTCTTGTCACCAACCCTCCTATTGGTGGGAATCCTTCCCCTGACACCCCTACACGTTCATACATTTAACGTCGTTACCGCAGCTTCATTTCATCATATTAATACGAAGTTTTACATTTGTAATACATTCCACTCTCAATTGTTAACATTAAAATAATAACGTGCACAAAGAAAACTTTAACATCCTGCTAATCCAACACATTAACACAGCTACTGTTGATATGTAAACTCCTTTGTCAAGGCGCTCTGTTCCTCCTACCCAGCTTAAAAGACGCTGCCAAGCTTGTTTCTTCACCTGAGGAAGGCTACCTGTGTTGTGGCCGAAACGTCGTGAGAATTTTATTTTGTTATTATTTTTATTATTTTATTTCCATTCTACGTGACTTTACCGAAAGAACCAAGAAGATAACCGAAAACGAGTGAACTTAAAACAGTACGTAAGTAACAAAAGTAAATATCCAATAAATAAGTAACACAACTGGTTGATAAGTACAGTTTTAGCACTGGTAGATTGCGCACTGCGCAGATAATAGCAGAACTATGGTTACGCCGTCGCCTCGCCCCCAACCCCCACCTCACTCTCCCCCCAGCTGCCCCACCCCCCAACCCCCACCTCTATCTCCCCCCAGCTGCCCCACCCCCCAACCCCCACCTCTATCTCCCCCTAGCTGCCCCCCCCCCACTTCTCTCTTCCCAGCTCTCCCGTCGCTGGTAAACAGTGCGCGCACTTCGAAAATTGTCGTTTAATTGTAAACAATTGGAATAATTTAAAACGTGATAACATGTGCAATTTTAGTGTGAGTGGTTTATTCAGCAGTGTTGCATAGTGGATAGTCCAACCATAACATTTTTTAACGAGTTATGACATGCCACACGTGTAAAATATTTTTGGTATAGCCCGTTTGTAAAAAAAGTGGTATACCCCGCGGGTTAAAATACGTTACTCATCAAGACCCAAACTAAAACGAAACTATTTTATTTGTATTTACCAGGTAAAGTCCACTGAGCGATGTAGCTCTTTTTCAGAAGTGACCAGACGGAAAATGAACGTTTGGCGGCGTATCAGTACATACTATAAACAATAAAATGACAAAATATATTATTTTCGATTCGCAAACCCAATCAGAAAATCTTGGGAGATGCATCAAAATCCGTTCTCGTGATGTCGAAGCGATCCGAAGACGAACGTTATGAGCGGCTGAACATGACACTTCACGGTCTGTTGCTATATTCCAGCACCCAGCCTGACCATAGGCTGCTCCGTATTCCAAAGGCAGATTTGTTTCGTGCCCTAGACCTGGTCGGACAGTTCCTGAATGATTTCCGGAATCATTCCTTGGCAGACGGTGGCATCAAAAGATTACGGCTGATGGTGTCATGACCGCACGTTCGAATAGGAAAGCAGCTCTGTTGGAGAGTTATGTAACGTCACTCGAGGGGCAATAGCGACATAATCAGTTTGGGCCTCATATTTACCTGGTGGCTCTACAGCAGCAGCTCAGTCAGCGGAAACAGCAACAGTGACGGCTCTGGAATGTTTCTTCTGGTGGAGCCTCAGAAATGGCTACAGTGTATGTTCGAGCTTCATCACCAGCTGGGGGGTCGGCAGCTTGATCAACGGCTTCAGCATCTGCTTCATCATCAACTACAGAGTCGGCTGGTCGACCAACGGCAACTGCGCATGCACAAACGCAGTTTCCGTTTATGAGGACGAGTGTGTTATGCTGCACCGGTGTACTGCCACGTATGTCCAAATTATAGCTTAACGTAGTGGGATTATTGTCATCACGTGGGAATTTATAGTAGCAGCCAAATAATTATCTAAACACGTGACGTTCATTACTAAATGTGGAGGGAAAAACCGAAGAAAAATCCATACAACCAACATGGAGAGAAAAAGAGAAAAAACGTGATTCCAAATATACAATAGGCATCGGCAGGATCCGGGATCGAAACCAAGTATTCCTGCATACCGGGCAAGGGAGATAACATCTCCGCACAACCGCGAGAACTTCTTAAAATGGTGATTATTTCCGAACATTAGTCGTTCTAATGTCACGATGGTGATATGGGTGATATTGGTTATTGATGGTGATATTGAGTATTGATGGTGAGTGATGATTGGTGGTGATTTTAATCATATCTACAATCTGCGTGTCCCTGAATGCAGGAAAAACTGGCAATGAAGATCAACATCGTACTTCTCGCAGTCATATCCATTGTGATTGCGAGCTATCTACTCCATATGTACACGTAGGTCCAATCGAAAAATTCACCACAATGGCTCCGTGCCTATCCAAATATAAAAAAAAAGATATAAAGGGTGTTTGATACAGGAAATGTCAGGACACAAAGGGTTATTCTTATACAGGGTGGCCCAAACCTGAAGACACATTTCGTTATTATTATACAGGGTTGCCCAAAAGTCAAGACACATAGCGTTTTTATTATAAACGGTGGCCCTATATGATATCATAATAACAACTTGGACCACTGGATGGGTTCCACACGATTGGAAGAATAGCCTGGTGGTCCCCTTCTTTAAGAAGGGGGACCGCACAGACTATAACACTACATGGGCATCACCCTCCTCAGGTGTGTCGGGAAAGGTTCTGGTAAGGATTATTCAACATTGCCTTTCCAGGCAGGCTGCAGAGAGGCTTGCGAAGCCTTTTAAGCTTGGGCAGTCCTGCACAAATGCCATATTTTCTATCCATCTACTAAAGCAGAGATGTAGGGAAGTCCAACAGGGCCTACATCTCTGCTTTATTGACCGGGTCAAGGCCTATGATATCAATATAGGCCTGGGCTCTGGGTCGTTTTTCGTGCTTTCGGCATCTCTGACTCTCTGCTCACAATCATTAAGGACCTTCGTGTTGGTGGGCAGACCCAGGTTAAACTGCGTGGCTGGGAGTCGGAGCCATTCCCTGTTCACCTTGGCATGCGACAGGGATGTCCTCTGGCTCCCACATTATTTAACATATTTTTCTATCACGTAGTTTGTGAAGTCTTCTATGGTTGTACCGGTGGAATCTCCATCTGGTACAGATACAATGGGAGGCTGATCGATGCCCGCGTTCGGTTAAGGGATGGCTCCCTATTGGTCAACCGTATTATGTATTTTGATGATCTGGTAATTACTGCTCACTCAGGGGTTGGAGGCGCTGCTGCTGAACCTGGAATGTGCCACTAAGAGGTGGGGCCTTACCAAATCTAAACACCTGCCTGGGCATTTTGTTCCAACAAGCACTCCAGCCCCTCAACTTCCTATTGGTGATGGGGAAATTGTGGAAAGAGTGGAGAGTTTTCCATGCCTGGGCAGTGTGCTCATGAACAGCTCCGGTTTGACAGCAGAGGTCTCACTCCGAATCAGTCGAGCGGCAATATCTTTTCATCGGTTGTGTAACGCTGTGTGGAAGCTACCTGGTCTGTCGCTCCGCACTAAGCTTCAGGTCTTCTCGGCCACGGTCATTCCCTTCCTTCTCTACGCTTGTGAAACGTGGACCCCCCTAATGGAACATCTTCACCGGTTAGAAACATTTAGGCTGGCCTGCCTACGATCTATCCTGGGTTTAACCAGGCTGGATTGTGTGAGCTCACAAATCCTTAATGATCTGGACAAAGTCCCATTAGTGAGCTCCTCCGGCAGATAAGGCAGCGTTGGGTCATGTAGCCCGCATTCCCAGCCACTGCATGCCTAAACAGCTTTTGTTTGGCCGGATAGAGGGGGCTAAATGGGCACTGCACGGGCTAAAAAAAGAGATGGAGTGATGTGGTACAAGAGGATGTGGAGCTGAGTGGACTTGCTGATGACTGGTAACAGCGGTGTCAAGATTGGCATCTGTGACAGAGGCAAATTAAGGATGCTATGGGGCAGTCACCCTCAAGTGGGGCGGTGGGTGGATAAAACACAGCAAGTTCGCACAGTAGAGGCCAGTTATCTCAATCAGTCTACCCATGGCACTTCGGTCTGTCCTGTGAACTCCTGCTAGCGGGTGTTCTGACACTTCACGTGGCCTTAACGTGCCCATAGCCTGGCAAAAGCGCCGTGGTGACGTCACTGCCACTTAATGGTGAATGGCGGTTGCAGTTGGTGGTGGTGATGGCCCTGACAAAACAACCTGTTGAGGCTATATGGGGGATGGTTGTTTTCACGTTGAGGGGAATGGAGGGGAACGGGGGAGCAGCAATCACTGTTCTACTATGAACCCGACAGAGATCTGAGTTCAATTCCTGCTCACGACCACCATCACCACTAACACCAGTGACAGGGAATTGTATCTGACTTCACCCCACGTCTACCCTAGATTGACTCGGCTTCAAATGTGTAACCTGGTACAGTGGTGTGTAGTAAAGGTCGCCACCCAGCAGTCTATTAAGTGCTACACGGGGGATCTTTGTCTTTGGTAGGGGTAGTTTTAGCGATAAAAGAATAACAAGGAGGCGACTGCTTTCTTCACAGTGACCGTACCAATGTACAGACTGTGACGGTGTGGGGAGCTCCTATCCTGTGGAATGGCACTTTTGACCAATCATACGTGGACCGGCTGTACGCGAAGCGTGAGGTCACAGTGGGCATCACCGTGTTCGCCATTGGACGGTAGGGAAGCTCAAATACAACCGCCAACACCATCGCAACAATCACCATTACCACCACCACAACCACCACAACCTCCATCACAACCACCTCAACATCCACCAACACCTCCAACAGCAACAGCACCAACACCAACACAATCACCACAACCAACTCCACCACCATGCTTACTTCCACCACCAACACCAACAACTTCACCACCACCTCCACCGCAGCACCACCTCCACCACCACCGCTCTCGTAGACAGAGAGGAAGACTCAGAGAGAGATAGACAGTGTTGTCCTCTATCTCTGAGGCATCCTCTCCCTGTCTCTCTCTGAGTGGTCATCTCGTTCTGTCTATCCTTTCTTTGAGAGAGAGAGAGAGGAGAGAGACAGTGAGAGCATACCGAGCGGCGGTGGTGTTTTGCGAGTTGACACCACTCCAGCGATTTTCGTACGATTCTACGGCTCCATGCCTTGAACCCATCGACACCACGTGCACACCCTCACACACTCACACTTGTGCCGCAGCTACCTGGACCTGTTGCTGAAAAACTTCGTGGATTCGGCCGAGCTGCACTTCTTCGTCGGCTACAGCGTGACCTACTACGTCGTGACAGACCAACCCTCGCGTATACCCAACCTCTTATTAGCACCCAAGAGAATGCTCGTTCCTGTCAAGGTCAGTTCACAACCCCTCCTCTCAAATTAGCTGCCTGCATTTTAACAAATACTGCACACAACCGCTGCAGATGTTCCTGGAACATGCGGCCAAAGACAATCACGTCATCTAAATAGATCAGACATGACTCCCATTGGAGCCCGGACAGTACCAACTCCATAAGTCGCTGGAAAGTGAGTGACGCCCCATCATAAGCACATTAAATTGAAACAGCCCTTGCGGTGTGTGGAACGCGGTTTTGGGTTTTGAACTTTCATCCAGTGGCAACTGCCAAAACCCTGACAATAGAGTCAGGGTGGAGAAAAACCGCACCCCCGACAGGGCATCCAACAAATCGTCCATCCGTGGGAGAGGATACGCGTCCGCCACAGAGACTTTATTTAATTTCCAAAAGTCCACACAGAACCGCAAACTCCCATCCTTTATAACCAGGACAATGGGAGCACCCCACGGACTGGTTGACGGGGAGATTATATTGGCGGCCAACATCTCGTCGACCACCTGACGAACGCAATCCTTTTCCTTTGGATTAAAACCGAAATGAGTATTGACGAATGATAGCGGCGCCACCCGTATCAATCTGGTGACGCATCAGGGATGTGCGGCCCACATCGAATTTACCCTTACTAAATACATCGGAGAATTCCCGAAGCAATGCTCGCAACTCGCCCCTCTGCTCTCACGACAAATCCGGATTACCCATGCACAACGGATTCATCCACGAGTCATCCAACATCGCTTCCTGTTCAACCGTGGCCACGACCCGAGTGGTTACATTCTTTTCTATACAACACGCAGCCATTGCGTGGGCCAACACCATACCCGCCTGTATTACCGCGGTATCTAGCCCAGCATTCAATACTTGCATGAAGGGCACCTGATACCCCCTCACTATCGTCTAAGCCCCTATAAAAGTGAGCCGGCGAACTGCTTTATTCTAAGGGGTTAAAAGAACCCTACTCCCAGTGATTTTTTGGTCGAGCCACTCCCGGAGCCTCAAGGGTACGAGCATCTGTGCACCAGGGGGACCCTAACAGTTTCACGAACCAGGGCCCGAACCACAGCGTTAGCCATACACCATCTAGTAGAGGACTCCAAAAACCTCAACCGATGCCCCGATGGTAACGCCACACAACCCTGGTCAATTAAAATCCGGAAGGGCATCCTCTTAAACAAATCCGTCCCCAAATAACAAGGCACCACCAATGAACTTGAAACAAACACTGGCCCCGTCCTTTCAATATCACCAACCCGTATCGATGCCTCAATTCAGCCCACAATGCCTAAACTCCTGCGATTAGCGGCAACACACGGATTATCTACAGGACTAAGCAACCCACCGTCGACGGCAGAGTCCTAAAAACAAACTCGGAAACCGTGGTGGTGGATGTCTCTGTATCTATGAGCATCCGCACCTCAACACCCTGCATAAATCCACATACCGTGGATGATCCCGCTCCCGCTGCCATGACATGGTGTGCCAGTGCGATCCATTGCCCGGACCCCCGCGGCTAACCATCACGCACCAAAGCACCACCTTCGTACCCCATATCCCTATGAGGGGCGATGGCGTATGCACCTGACACCAGCTGCAATGGGGTTGCATGAGGTGACTTTGTCAGCCGGGTGTGTGACGTATTGCGACCTGCCTTAGGACTCAGAAGAGTGGAGGCCGGCAGGGGGGAGGATGGCGAAGTCGGAAAAAACTGCCCCAAATCAGCATGGCAGCCCCTGGAGATGTGGCCTGGCAGGCCACACCTGAAGCAGGTAATGGGGCCCCTCCATGGCAGAGGCAAGGTCCCCCCCTGCTGGTCCCGTCGTCGTCCCGTTCTGACTCTCCCCCGTGGGCTCCAAACCACCCGAGGTAAAGACCCAAGGAGACTCTCGATGCTCCTGGTCGCCCACTTCTCCCGGAAATCCAGCCCCAGCCGCCACCCTGACACGTCATCGCAGGTTACAGTGAGCCTGGATGCATCGGGCTACCTGAATTGAGGACAGGTCGTGTTCCTCTGTGGCCGGAAAAAACGTTCATTTCCTGAGCCAGCTTCAACAGTTTATCTAGCACAAGAGAATCCAGTCCTGCCCGATCCATTCTTGGGTACGCCTCCTGGGCCAGTGACAGGAGTTCGCTGTGGAAGGCGAGGGGCATCTCAGTCAAAAATTGCCGACAACTGGGCATACGCTTCACGCAGCGTCGTTCTGTCCGCCTCGGGAAAGGAAAAAAATGCCGCCAAGGCTGCGTCATTCAGCGTGATGGGAAGAATACATAGTGCCTCCGCATCGGATCACCCCGCAAGCTCGCAAGTGGCGGTGAACTGCCGCCAGAAGTCTGCCAAATTACCCCCCACAGCCGAAAATTATTTGAGAAGCAGCAGCCGCTGCACGAGGGAAGGTGCCCCCGGATTAGCTGTCGGCGGCAGGTTAAATTCGACGGGACCTGATTCCTGCCCTTGGTCGGCAGTGATGGTAAAGTCGCCCACTCTCTTAGTGTCCCACATCTGGGGAAAAAACAGAGCGCAGCCAGTGCAAGTGTTAATCGAAATTTCGCCTGAAAACAATGACATCATCCAAATCCCATTTCAACCCCAAAAGGTGGCCGGCACGGAGTGGAGTCCCATCGGAAGGACATTGAAGTGATACAACTCCTGTGGAGTACGAAAAGCCGTCTTTGGTTTCGACTCCTCATCCAAAGGCAATTGCCAAAAGCCGTCTTTGGTTTCGACTCCTCATCCAAAGGCAATTGCCAAAATCCCGACAAAAGAGCGAGGGTCGAGAAGTAATGCACACCGGACAATGCGTCCAAAAAATCATCCAGGCACGGAAGCGGGTATGAACCCGCAACAGACACCTTATTTAGTTTCCTGAAATCCATACAAAATCACAACGAGCCGTCACACTTTTTGACTAATTCAATGGGCGCCCCCCAAGGGCTGGTGGAGGGAGAGACAATGTCTTGTGCCAACATTTCGTCCACCGTCTGCTGAATGCAATCTTTTTCATGTAGGCTCATCCTGTGGGAGTTCAATCGAATCGGAGGCACGTTCCCTGTATCAATATCATGCTATAATACGGTTGTCTGGCCTATATCGTATTTGCCGTCATTGAAAACATCTTTAAACTCATGCAAAAGCCGGGGAAGACGCGCCCGCTGCTCGAATGCAATTCCCGATTATCCTCACGCAACCGCCGCAGCCACTCAGGTTCAGCATCGCATACCGGCAAACCCTGTGCCAACTCCCCTGACATGCATGCCCTCTGTTCCGTACCCGCGGCCACCGTCGCGTGTGCCAATACATTGCCTTCCTGAATAACAATCGTCGTATGCCCCGCATTAACGACTTCAATGAAAGGGTCACTATTTGGCGACACCAAAATCAATGCCCCCACCAAGGAGGGTGTCCGCGACACCGCATTCGCGGGGGTCAACAAGACCCCTTCCGCCGGGTTTGCCAAGGGCACATGTTTACGCAGACGTCGTGGCACAAGCATCTGCATGGCTGGTGGTACGCATTCCATGTGGCTAACCATAGCCGGCACAACAGCATTGATCGCAGTATACTTTATAGATGTTTTCAAAAAATTCAGACGCTGTCCCAATGGCATCTCAATACAGCCTTTATCCAGCTGAATGTTAAGGGGCATCCTGCGCAAAATATCCGTGCCTAATAAGCACGACACGGCCAAAGTCGTGGAAACCAACACAGGGCCATCTATGCATACATCCCCTATTTGTATCGTAGCAATCATGCGACCAAGAATCCTGAGACTACCACCATTGCCCGTCCATCTGCGCTAGTGGCTGGGGTGAGGCTGGCAACGATCGAAAAGTCGACAGCGAAATGAGGGTAGCCGAAGTACCCTTGTCGATTACCACTCGGACCTCTACCCCCTGAATAAGCACCATAACGTCCGACGAACCCGGCGCGGCACCAAACGCCCGATACACCAACGCGCACCATTTACCATCGTCATACACGCCGTCAGGATGAGCATTTACAGAGCAACGCAACGCGGTTGAGTGATGGGGATGAAGCGGCCATGTGCATGATGTGTCGCGACTCACCTTTGGTCCCCGTTGACGTCATAGGTCGCAGGAGCTCCCAGCGTGCCGCCAACGTGCAGCCGGCAGTTTCTGGCGATGTGGCCCGTCCGCCCACAGTTGTAGCACCCACGTGAAGCGTATTCTCTTGGCGGTTTGCACCATGGTGGCCACCCAACCGCCGACCGACCTCCTCACATCTCTGCACGTCATGGACTTAAAGACCAGGGCTGCGTATCCAGTGCTGCTGTCACTGGCCGTTGAGTCCCCTTTCTCCTTCCTGCACACCATCACAGCTGGCTATTCCCTGAGGTCCATATTTGCCACTTCAGGGCAAGTGAGTCGAGAGCTGCCCGATTCATGGAGGGATAGGCCGCCCGTCCGAGGGCTAATAGTGCTGCGGAACGCCAAGGGTGACTCCGTGGCCCCCCGCATTCTAAGCTGGAACTTCCTTCAGATTGTCGACGGTGTTTCGAAAATAGCTGCCATCGCAGCGCAGGCATCGGCGAGTGATGATCAATCAGTCTCGGTGATGGAGTAGAAAGCGGCCAGCGAGTTAGCGTCGAGGGCCGTCGGCAGGGCCCACATTGCCTCGTGCTCCAACCAGTCGATGGAGCGATACACTGATTCAAAGCGTCAATAAAATGCCATCCAGTCACCCTCGGTCAAGAGCCGCATGGCTCACAGGGTTATACCTAATAAATTAAACGGAAACTGCTCGGACAAGATCAGCGTTGTTGAAGCGACGTGAAGAGCGTTGCGTCCGTCGCCACCCCCGTAGACGTCGTCCGGCCCGCCGCCATCAACATGTTGAACATGTAACTTCTGCCAGCGTGGTCTCCAAGTGTGCAGCAATGTCCCACCAACTCCGTCTCGTTGTCCTGGCCGGAGTTTTCTCGCGCTCACCCACTTGTGCCGAGGGCAGCCGGTCCTGTGGTTCTGCCGGCTGAGCAACAGTTTT